GTGGCGACTAGATTACCCTGCCAATGACTTTCTCCCACTTTATCTTGACGATGATGTGGTGAATATTTTGGTTCATTCTGTAGACAAAGACACCAAGTTGTACGTTTTGGAGCGCCGACGAGAACGAGACATCAAACCTCTGCGTCCATTATTTTTGATGCGTGATCATGAGGGCAGCGGCGGCTCTGTCCTTCAATATTTTGGAAAAACGGCTGTTCTTTCCGGTGGGGCTGATGGAAAGGTGGTTGTAAGAGACGTCTCACATTATCTATTAAAGCTGACACCTATCCCTCCTTCCAAAGAAAAGAGAAGGCCCCAAGGTGAATTCCCCATAAGGCACATGGGAAAAGAAGGGATAACTTCTTTGTGTACATGGAATGGTGATTGTGGCTTCGTTTGTGGAGGTCATGACACAGTGATTCATTTTATTACCTCCGGTGAACCCATTTCTGATTCATGGAAAGAACCAGTATGGAAAAAGGAAAAACTTTTGGGTGTCTCAGACGCCATGCAAACCCCAATGGAGGGGTCATCTACACTGTGTGAATTTAGTCGATCCAGTGTTCTATCCGATTTGACTGAGATAAGAGCAGAGGTTAACAAATTATTGAAGGAAAGAAGTTCGGCTGTCCACGTTGAAGACTTTCTGCTACCTAGTCAGCGGGAGTCGTTTAGTGCGGAGTGTGAATTGGCGATACAGAAGGCAAAAGAAGATGACTACTACCGTTTGCTTCATAATGAATTTACTCAATATATTATTCGAAATGAATGTTGGGACACAATGGAAGTACCAAGAGCGAAAGTTGTAAGTCTAAATGACCTTACGGTCCAAGTTTACAATTTTCACTGTCGTAAGGCTGATCCGGGAGAAGAGAAGTTGTTGAAAAAGTTGAAATTTTTGAGAATGTTGCAAATAAAAGTTGGAAATTACTTTACCTTTTCTTCCTTGGTGAAGCGACGGGAAAGTCATTCTAACCCGTTGCAGCAGGAGAGCGACATTGCCGATGAAACTTCCGGGCTTCTCTACGATGCTATGGATGTATACACAAATTCACGTGCTGTTATTCAAATTCATTTGCTTCGTGGAAGGATACTCAGGTTGAAGATGGCGTTCAATCTTCGCTTTGATAATTTATGCGAACGGAAAAAGCGAGAATTGCAGCGAATTGAAGAAAGAAATGGTCGTTGTAGGCGCATCCTGCGGCAACTCGGTGAAACGTCCATACCTGCGGATCTCTGTTTCACACCCGTTTTTGATGTCGAGGAGGACCCCAAGACTGTTTTTGAGGTCTTTGATTCGGAAATTGATCCCGAATTGCTCAAGCTTTCCAAAAAGAATGAAAGTGATGCATTTATTATATCCCCGACGGATGAAGCGGCATTGAAGACGTGGATGGATGGTCTTGAAAAGGATGCTGATGTGCTTGCCGTCAAAGTCACCTTACCTGCTTTTGCGGATGAATCGTTGGAACAATATGTGGAACCCGAAGATCGAACGGAGGAGCAGCAAAGGGCTTATGAACAATATGAGAAGCAACTTGCGGAGCAGACGATATATGTGAATGAAAGAAAGGAGGCGTTGCGTGAAGAGATTGCCGAATTGAAGAGGGCAAACAGTGATGCAGCGAGAGCGATAGATGAAGAAATTTCCTCGTTGAGAAGGAAACGTATGGAGGTGGCTCAGTTGGTGGATGAATTGGAGTCCCATCAAATGAATGCGCTTCGCAGAATATTTCTTCCAACTACAATTTTGAATGAGCTCTTAAACGTCATAAAGGAAAAAAAAGAGCTCCAAAGTCGTTTGAAACAACTTCAGAGTCTTGAAATGCACAGACAAAACTTATTGAAAACGGAAGAGTCTCGGTTGCAGCAGTTAATCGAAAAAGAAAAGGATGCTGTCGCACATATGCGCGACTCTCCACCGTTTGATGACGGCACCTGGGGGGAGAAGCTGTACAGACGTTTTACGAGGTGGCGTGCAAAGTACGAAGAAGGCCAGGCATTGGCTCCTCTGGCTGATCAGAATGAAAATTTTCCTCTCCCTCTGTGGAAGCTCTACTGTGAATGCTGCTCAATCATTGTTGAGTCAAAACGCGTTGCGACCCATAGTACAGCAACTGTTCAAAAATTAACCGAGTCGTTGACGGAGGTTGAAGCCGAATTGACACTAGTTGGAAAAAAGCTAGACGAAAAAGAGGCGGAGGAGGAATTCTGCAAACAAGACGCCACTCGCAAGGTTCTCAATGTACAAAACCTATATCGCCTGCGACAAGGCCAGGTTCAAGATGAGGAAGCCATGCTAAACGCCGACTTTATTGACTTTTCCTTTCGATGGACAAAGGACGTGTTGGACTACAACACCCTTATCTTTGCAAGTTTTGACGAAGTTTCCCGGATTATGGGTAATACATCGCATCAACGACAAGCAATGAAAATGGCCTCTTGGGAAACTGAACGCTTACAGTACTGCGTGGGGACGTTGGAGATGGAGCTCCGCCAGCTACACACGTTGCGGGTGACGAGACAAATGCAAGAAAGCATATACACCGGTGCATTGGTGTCACGTGAGGGTGAGGTGGAAAAATTGAACCGCCGAATCGACTCCATCCGGCAAATGATGTCAAGGAGGGTGGAGGATCGAAACAGGGTTATTAAGCGTTTAAACATACAGATCAACGATCGGCACCTGGAAAACACATTACTGGGTGATCAGGTACAACGCGTTAAAAGCGTTGTGGATGACAAAAAGGCCGTGTGGGGTATGTTGGGTGAGCACGATAATGAATCCACACGTCTTCAAGAAAGAATGAGAGAGCTGTACGAGAATAGTGAATTGGAGGAGTTGGCACGGTGCCAGCAGGAGGAACTCGTCCGGTTAAAGCGTGAGGTCGACCGCCTTCGAGAGCGCACGTTTCCTTCGTTTGCTGTTGTATCAAAGAAAACCGTGACGTGATCAAATGTAGAAAACGAAGAACTGAGGGAATCCCCCATCTGAGTTGAGGGTGTTTTTCCCCCCTGTATGTAGAGCTGACACATTTTTATTGTATTTGTTTTTTTTTATTGAGGAGATGTATTGTTAAAGAGGGAAAGATATGCGCGCCGATGTGTCTGTAGGGGCTGGATATGCATTCCCTTTTTTTTTTCTGTTCTTTCGCTTGAATGAAGTAGTGGTCAGTTATGCAGCCTTTGCCTACTTGTTTGTTTTTTATTTTTTTGTTTCTTTTCTTTTTCCCTGTTGAGCGTCCTGAAACGATCTTTTTTTTCCCCTTGTCTGCTGCTGCGAAGGACGGGGTGCCCTTGAGGTGATGGAAATACATGCGGCTCAGGCAGCACGCGAGCGGGAACAGCGCATTAGGTGCGTGGAGGAGATACTTTTGCGCATTGCATCGCACGAAGGTGTGTTGGGCTATCTTGTGCTGAACCCTATTGATGGAAGCATCTTCAAACACTCCGGTTTTGGTGGAGACGCGAAAAAAATGCAAAAGTATGCAGAGAAGGTTAATGATCTCACAAAATTGGCGTACTCGACGGTCCGAACGATTGATTGGAAAGATGATCTCACCTTTCTTCGTCTAAGTGTTGGTCTAACTGACATTCTGGTTGCACCGGATGTGGAAAAACGCTATGTATTGGTTGTAGTACAGGAGATCAAACAATGATGTATGTTTGGCGCATTATGCCTTTTCTGTAAGATGGCACGTTTGTTGTTGTTGTTGTTGTTGTTGTCTTCTCTACTTTTACTGGTGGTCCTTGTGTATCATGAACATGTCTAAGGGACTTTGTGCGTCTCAGAAGGAAGATGGGAAGTAAGTGACACCTCTGACGGGAAACCCGGCTGCTACCATTTGAGGATCATTTTTGATTATTATTATTATTATTTTCTTTCTCTGTGTGTGCTTTCTTCATTCTCATAAGGGAACGGTAATGTATGCGGTGAATCCATGGGGTAAAGTTCTTCTTATTGGAAGCAGTGTAGGAACTTATGCGATGGGGATTGGCATGCGCTGGCGCGAGTCCAACGTTCAGGTCATCGAGAAACGTGTGGACCCAAGGTATGAGCTTGCCCTTCGGAGACGCTGCGTTTGCACCGGCCAAACGGCGAGGCTGCTGACGGACTTGGGCTGCACCAAGGCCAGGATTGAGAGTGTTTTTCAAAGAGCCAAAGGATGGCGATTCCTGAGGCCCAGCCTCGAAATTATCAAAGAGAGTACGGTTTTTCCAGGCTGTGCGGATGGGGAGGCGGTGTACCATTGCGAAGAGGGCTCGCTTCTTCGCATGTTGCGGACCGAATTTTTGCGTTTTGGGGGAGGCGTAAGTTGGGGAACGGAGGCCTTTGATGCGTTTGAGAGTGGCGATGGGAGTGGGGCGTGGTGCCTACGGAAGACGTACGGTCTAGAAACGGAAGCCGAGGCCATTATCACAATGGCAAAAGTGTCATCGTTCGCGTCTGTGTTGATGGTGGACAACCCGGACCGCATGGCGGTTCTGTTTTACGAGGAGCACGGCGTTTTTTGCCCCAACAAGGAGCTCATTGAAAAGGTATTTGGGCGGAATGATGTTGCAATTGTGATGGGACTAGGAATGGTGATTCACTTGTGGTACACGAATAATGTCATTGCGTGGAGAGCCATCCGGAGGGAGCAAAAAGGTAGCTCGGGTTTCTGCATCAATGAACTGCACCCAGTCATTCGAAATGTGCTTGAGAATAGTGTTGAAAAACATTCTCGTGTGCGTCTTCTTCCGACAACCATGCCCGCAATCAAGGATTCGGTGTTGCACGTGAAATTGAGTGTATTGGGCGATGGGCTTTTACCTGTCGATCCCTTTGAGTGGAGAGGAGATCGAGCGCGGTGTCTCGTTGAGGAAGCTTCAGCCCTCTGTCGAGCATTTTACGGGAAAAAGTATCATCGTGGAAGTGTCGCCTATCTTCTTCGAGGCATCGAGCAAGACTCATTATCGAAACGGGCTTCTATGCTGCGTCGGGATTTGGCGGACGCGGAGCGCTTTTTGGCTGTCCACCCGGTCATTGAGGAGGAACCGCATGCGGTTTCCATGCAACAGGTTGGTTCATAGAAAAACGTGGATGCAGTGTGAGGAGGAATATCTTCCGGTATTTGCCACCCTTTTGTTCTTGGTCCTTATTTCATCTTGTTTCTATCTTATCCCCACACACACATGTGTCTGTATATATATATATACGCATGGAAGATTTAAAAAAATAACAATAATAACGGGCCTTGAATAGATCGGATGTGCAATGGAATTGTATTTGTACCTGTGTGTACATTTGTACAAAATGTGTGATTTTTATTTTATTTTATTTTATTTTATTTTTTTTTCATGTTGAGTGCTGATTTTTTCTCAGGAAGAATTTATTGATGCTCCGTCGCACGAGGTTTTGTCATGCGGAATTCAAGAAAATTCTGGTGGCGAACCGTGGCGAAATTGCGTGCCGCGTATTTCGCACATGCCGTGAGATGGGCTTACTGACCGTGGCCGTTTGCTGTGAAAGTGAGCTGAATGCTAGGCATGTGCAGGAGGCGGATGAGGCCTTTGTGCTGGGTCCATCCCCAGCCTCTCTGTCTTACCTTCGAGGCGAACGCATTATTGAGGCCGCAAAGAGGCTTTGCGCCGACGCCGTGCATCCTGGATATGGATTTCTCTCGGAAAGCCCTGAGTTTGCCGCCGCTGTTGCAGAAGCAGGGATAGAGTTTATCGGACCTCCAGCTGCGGCTATGGCCTCTATGGGTTCCAAGAGCGAAAGCAAGCGCATTATGGAGGCCGCGGGGGTCCCAGTTGTGCCAGGTTATTATGGTGAGGATCAAAGCTTTGAGTGCTTGTGTGAAGAGGCGAAGAAAATTGGCTTCCCTGTACTCATTAAAGCGGTTTCGGGTGGTGGTGGGAAGGGGATGAAGATTGTGAAGAGTGTGGATGAATTCAAGCTCATGTTGGAAAGTGCAAAGCGTGAGTCTATGAATTTCTTTAAGGATGATCGGGTTATTTTGGAGCGTTACGTCACGCAACCACGACACATTGAGTGCCAAATCTTTTTTGATAAATTTGGTAACGGGGTGTTTTTCTTTGAAAGAGACTGTAGTGTCCAAAGGAGGCACCAAAAAGTGGTTGAAGAGGCCCCGGCACCTCACATAACCCCTGACATGCGACACCGAATTGGAACAGTTTCTTTGAGAGCGGCCAAAGCGGTTGGATACGTTGGAGCGGGGACGGTGGAGTTTATTTTTGATACTGAGAGAAACACGTTTTTTTTCATGGAAATGAACACACGCCTGCAGGTGGAACATCCGGTGACTGAAGAAATATGTCAAGTTAAAGGAAAACCTCTGGACCTTGTTCGTTTGCAGTTAGAAACAGCCCAGGGGATTCCGTTGGGATTCACTCAGGAGGATATTTCGATTTATGGTGCATGCGTGGAAGCTCGAATATACGCGGAATCTCCTGCGAATGGATTTCTTCCTGGTAGTGGAAGGCTGAAGTACATTCGAGAACCACCACAGGGCATCCATAGAGGTACGAGAGTTCGAATCGACTCAGGCTTCCGTTCTGGAGACGATGTGCTTGTCCACTACGATCCCATGATTGCCAAACTGGTAGTTTGGGGGGAGAACCGTTCCAAAGCTCTTGAGGGGATGCATACGGCTTTAGATAAATACCACATTGTTGGTGTGCAGACCAACGTTGAATTTCTTAAACGTTGCCTCAAAAATTCCTCCTTTATTGAGGGAGGCGTGACAACAAATTTTATTGAGAAGAACAGAACTGACCTGCTTCGAACAAAACCTCTCATGAATCCTGTTTTAGCGCTTGGAGCTGTCTCCTTTTTGAATTATTACGGATCTGCTGCATCCGCATTTCGTTTAAACCATACATTGTTTCAACGTGTTCCTTTTCTTGTCGATGGTCGTCGTGTCACTGTACAGGTCAGTGTTTCTCGTGACGGCTATTTTCTTTGCGACGTCGATGGCAGCCGTTGCGGGGTGAAGGTGGAACATTGGAAACCAATAAACACTGGCACCGTCGAGTTTTCCGTGAGGATGGATGATGGGTGTCGGTTTGATTGTACTTCTGTTATAACAGGCAAGACGATTGCTATGGTGCTGCCCGAAGAATTTTACATTTTGAATCTACATTCCCTGTCTGAAGACTTTGGTAATGCGTCCCTGCAGGAGGCTGGGTCGGCGCGTGTGGTGAGCCCCATGCCGGGGAAAGTGACCAAACTGCTTGTACCCAACGGTGCGAAGGTGAAGCAGGGCGAGGCAATTATTATGCTTGAAGCGATGAAAATGGAGCACTTTGTCAGAGCGACGTGTGAAGGCGAATTGGAGTTTTTTGTGAGGGACGGCGATACGGTGGGCGGCGAACACCTGCTTGCAAATATTATCCCACCGTCAACTTCGTGAGTTCATGTGTGGAGTTCTTCAAGGTGCCAAGGGGAACACGCTTCCCTCAATCTGAAGGAATCAAAAAAAAAAAAGTGGAGACAAAATGCCAAATTGTTGAGTAGTGTGTATAGCGCTTTTACTCTCTTATTATTTACAAATATATGGAGTAATGGAAGAATTATATTGCGACATCTCCCTTCCTCGGCTTTGGTTTTACCCGTGTGCTTCTCTCCTTTTGCATTTTTTTTTGGTTATTTTTATTTTT